AATGGGTTTTTGGGTAATTGGTTCCAGCTCACCGAAAATTTCCTAAATTCAACAAAAATGGTAGAAAAGTTCACTTACTTTGAGGTGTGTATGTAGAAGGCTCCTGGATGATGATGATGATGATGGGATTTAGAATGGGGGTGGAGGAGAAGGAAGAAGAGAAGGCATTGGGGTGGAAGAGAAGTCACCCCATGGTGCCATTTCACCCATAAAATTTTAGCTCTCTGGTTTAATTCAAGATTATTTTCTTTAAATCAACGCTGCACTGCATTATATATTGTCAATATATAAAATATATTTCAAAATGACCAATAATTTGCTTGGAAACACAGAAAAAAAGCGTTTAGTTGAAGAGTCTCAAGCAAGATGTTACCTCCAGTGAAAACAGAGAGAGACTGACGCCTGTTTGCTGTGTTAAGAGGCTGGATGCCGCGCATTAAACTAGTCACTTTACCTTCAATTTTGTTCAATAATTGTTAAAATGACTAAAAAATTGAATATTAAACTTTTAAAATTATTGAATAGTATAAACTTCTTGATATTTACAAAAATAGTAAGGAATTTAAGCCCTAGAACCGATTAATGTATTGGCGGACTGATACTAAAGCTGGTTGCCCGGTCTGTGCAAGCGAAAACATGTTGAGGTCGGTTCGTAAGAAGTTCGTTAAGCGAATTTTTTTTCGTTAACCGAATTGAAGATCCTTATGGAAGGCAGTTCGTTAATCGAAATTACGTTAACCGAGGTGTTCGTTAAACGAGGGGTCACTGTATTACAGTTTATATTAAACATTAAAAAATGCAGGAATGATTTGCAATTAACATTGCAGACTGTATTGAGGATATTTTTAAACCATTTAATTATCATCTTGTTCTGTGTTTAACATTATTAGTCTCTGATTAGTTGGTAGAATTTCATGACTGTACCTACTGTATATGGGTTCCATGACATTTGCTCGCAAGATGAACCTTATCTAACCTAACATGTCTTCATTTCCACAATAGTTGAGTATATGCCTTGTAAACAAATGGCTGCACACTAATTATATGAAGGCTCTCTGGTGAGGATCCATATACAGTATTTACATGTAATATTTTTCCAAATAAAAGACTATTTAAACAGCAGAGACTTTTCTCTGACTTCTGGTTTAGTCCATGTCTTAACATATTGTATATATTTTTACTCCTGACATTGGGAAAGTGTTCATGTCTTGTTTTTTTTGAAAGGGTATTTATTGCATTACTATAATCAGGTGGAGAAAAGGAGGAAACATTATCTCAAGTTTTCATATCTTGTAGATAACTGGCCTTGTATAAAATGAAAGTAAAAATTTTGGTATAAAGATAATTTCCTGTTTGATAGAAAACTAACAGTTATGGTGATATTTTTTGAAGATTTTATCCCAATTCATCTGTACGGTGAGTTCATCACTGTCATAACAAAATTATAATACCTAATACTGTACTTTGGTATATTCTACTGACTTGATCCACAGAACAGGCCATAGTTCTCTTTATTACACTCACCCAACCCCAAGTTCATGAAAAACTTATAACTTTATTGTTAGATTTAATAAGGATAAAGAAGAAAGGAACAGATATTATACTCAATTCCTACATTTTTATGGTTGTCACAGGCTTTATTTACCTATATTCACTGTAAATGATCGTATTTTATTCCCAGAATTGGCTTATAATCCAAGAAAATAGGAAAATGAGGTGCACCTTAGCTTGGGATTCAAGTTTTTTATGCTCGTAAATCGTGTAGCAAGAGCAAACGTTTCGTGCCACTGACAACGTTTTCAGGGTGCAAGCATACCAACCCCCAAGTCTTCCGCCAGTTGGTACACCTGACTACACTACGATGACGTAGTAACAACAAACGACAGTCGGGTACCACCATGGCCCATCTTGAATAATTACACAATTTTCAGTCGATTGTATTACGACCGCAGGGATACCATGCATGGTGTACACCACGGCTGACCTTGCATATGGGCCTAAGTGACGTAGAATGTATGAAGGGATTGTTTCAGATGAATTCCTCGTTCGAGTGTCTGTTCTGGTGTATGTACAGTAGTACCCCCGCATTATTAGTTCTTTTCGGAGGCAGTTTTGTTAATATCTTTTAATAATTTCTGTCGATGCCATGTCCAACTTTTGTTTCCCATTGTAGTGTTGTAATGTAAGCTATGCTAAGAAGTTAACCTAGTGCTTGTGTGCAATTATTGATTCCGGCTGTAGTGTTGGAAGGAGTAGAAGTGTTATCCGTTACCAGTGCGGCTCATTAACCCCAATTTCAGGTACTAGCTATTCCACGGTCATGGAAAAACACTTTTATTAATTGTGTTTGTGCTGGTTTGGTATTCTCTGAGGGGCGCTCTCAATGCATTACCATCCACTGGATGGATCTACATGAAATATATACAGTGGGGGTAAGCTATAACGAACGGATCCTACTACGAATATTCCTATAACGAACGGTTTTACCTTTAAAATTGAGAATGCTATAACGAACGAAACTCCTACAACGAACATTATTTAAATTTTTTTTTTTTTTGCTAATTTATTGTTTTTTTTACTACAAGTATTAATGATATTCTTTATTTCAGGGGTTTAGATGCATATTTATGCACTTTTTTAAAATTTTTACAATTTTATATTACTGTACTATAGGGGGCAGGGAAAAAACACTTTTATTTGAGTTGCATGCTGCACTTTTCAGGCATCGTTTGTATGGCTGTAACAAACACCTGTGCAAAATTTCATGCCATTTCATGCATCCTTACCCTGCCGCATCGCGAACGACTTTTTGTCAACTTTTAGTGTATACCAAAAATTAGGTGTCATTTAATGTTTTCCAGGATAATGATAAATTTTACATGGGTGACATCGATTTAATTCACATGTTATTTTACAGGTACACCGTATAGAAAATCATTACAAGTTCATATTGAAATTCTTTTTTGTGCGGAACCTTGGCATCATTTTCCTAGACAATAATCTTTGCCTAATATATCCATCTCTCGATTCGTATCCCGTCACTTCAGTGCAAGCTTCAGTCATCACTTTTATGCCTCTCTCGACCGCCTGAGTGCTGTTTGGCCACTTGGGCACCACTAATGGTGTCTCAAGAATGTCATTAACCTGTAGATTTGACAGAGAAGCAATGTAAGGAGGCTCAGTCTTGAGTTCATTCCTCCAGTTAATCATGGAATGATAGTTTTTTGCTTGCCACTTTAGTTTCGGAGTCACCACCTTTCTCATGTTGACTACAGGAGGCACATCCTCATTCCCATCTCCATCTTTACCCTCCTCATCAGTATAGTTTAACAAATTCTCGTCAACAGCAGCATCAGAATCTTCCTCCTCCTCTTCAGATCTGCCAGTGCATTCTTCCTTTTGCTGATTCTCCTCTCTAATTTTTCTTATCATTGAGACAGCTTTTTCTCTAACAGTCATGTCCTCATCTGCACACATACCAAGAAGAAGTTGATCTGTGTGGGCGAAGTATGCATTTCTCTGGACAGCCTTCTTCACTATCGTCTCCTCCTCACTATTCAGGTGTTTCATATATAGCAGGGACTGGAATACGTTCCTTGAGCCGTGTGTTACGTAAGGGTGTATCTTGATGTAAAACCACATTGGAGCACTGAACTTTATTATTGTAATGACAATTCTTTTCAACTCATGGCTGGGTCTTGATGTTGCTACATACAGCCTGAGGATTCTACTCCATAAGGTGTTCCACCTTGACACACAGGGAGGACCTGGCTCAATAGCAGCCAAGTCATCTTCAACAACACCTGTGATAACTCCTTTACAAATCCTATACAGGTATTTCTGATCCCAGGACAGATCTTTCTCCACTTCATCATTAAACACAGGGAAATCAGGGAAACTGACTGGCTGGAAGGCGACAACTGGAAGCTCAGACAAAGACTCCTTGATCTGCTTTCCAATGGGACCACGCCAATGCTCAGGACCACTTGGTTTACCATTATAGTGATAAAAAACTGCGCGGAAAGGCAGCTCATTTCCGTGAAGCTGACATATGAAATAATGGAGCGGGTGACCAAGTAACATTTCAAGATGATGAATGACTCCATTTTCTGATCCTACATTTACATTGGTTCCATCACAACCAACACACACAATGGGCTGCTGGGTTAGATTTTTCTCCACCAGAAACTCGTGAATAGTTTTGGCAATCTGCTTTCCGTGTCCAGTCTTGGGAGTCACATGTGTGAGATATTCATTGCCAGGCTCAACTATGATGACATAATGATCTTTCACCATCATCCTCGAACTCCATTTCTCGTGGTGATCCTGCGGTGTGAACTGCTTAACGGTAACTATTTGAATAATTTCAAGTGCGCCAACTTACCCAGGTCTCCCCTACATTACAGTACAGTAACACAACATTGAGAAATGAAATGAGAAAAGGCTGATAATCAATATAGACATAGCACCATACTCATCTGCAACAAGACAACTTAAATGAAATAAGAGATATGAAAAAAAAGTTGATAAACACTAAACAGAACATTGCACCGCCACAGCGGCTGTTTGGCTAGTACTGTAGGTAAATTTAAAAATTTCAGTAGAAAATGCGGCAGACTAAACCTCGACATATCAGCTTCAAATTTGGCATGGAGTCTTAGATATGTATAAGGAACAATGCCTGAAGAGTGCAGCTTTAAGCAAAATTTCACTGCCCCCTACTGTACTATATTTTTCAGTGTTAAGTGGTTGTATTTGGGGGCCTGGAATTGATTAATCCTATAACGAACGAATGCTATAACGAACAAGGTTCTAGAACCAATTAGATTCGTTATAACATACCCCACTGTGTATATATATATATATATATATATATATATATATATATATATATATATATATATATATATATATATATATATATATATATATATATATATATATATATATATATATATATATATATATATATCTTGTACTGTTACACACACTCATTTTTACTGTTCTCAAAATATTTGCTGTTCTTTTGCAGATGACTCGGAATGTTTCCCCAAAAGTCCCACTACTTTCATGCAGGTGAGTTTTTTTTGTTTTTTTTTTACGGGATTAGCCCACCCGGGCACAGGTCACTAAACCACATCAGGGCCTGGGGGGCGAAGATGTAATAATAGTACTGTAATAGTAATAATAATAATAATAATAATAATAAAGAACCATAAAGAAATACAAAAATGTAAAAAAGATCAAAAGTGAGAAACAATATATGTATGTTGTGTTGTCAATAGTAAGTGAAACAATTGAGACCCTGCAATTGTGTGTAAATGAGGCAGAAAGTCAGATCAGCAACCTGAGACTTTGTCACAATTTTTGTAATGCCATGTGGCAGCAGGGTCTACCATAGACACCACATTATGTACTATACCCTTAGTCTATTCCGACACCCATCTGTTGTTCTCCCACTACTGTATTCCCCCCTTTATATCCTCTTACATCCCTTGTGTGTTTGTGTGCTCCATGAATGAAACCTGAAGACAAAACTGGTTATAAGTTGTCACATTCTACTCGAATCTTTCCCTCTCGTAGGACGGCAGGACAGTAGAAGGCAGCAGAATGAACGCCGCCGACACAGACATCATCTTCCGTCAACAGTTGAGCATACGGTCACCCCGTTACAGCACCTGCTCACACCTACAGACACACAAACAGTCGATCTCTCAACCTTTTCTACTCCAACAGTCACGCCTACATCCACATACATACAGACAATCGCCTCTGTCTGTACGCAAACAGTCCAACCTATTTTCACGCCCATAGTCACACCAGTGACATCACTGCCCACGTACACCAGAAGGCCTGCTGATGTGGTAAGCAATCTTATCTGGTAGTAATCTTTTATTTTATGGCTGTGAGTGAACTATCTGATTGTGAATGAGTTGGATTATATGACTGAAGGGTAAGATATATTTTCTGATATATTATCTGATGGTGAATACGATATCCTTGTGAGTACAGTACTGTATGCTTGTATGGTGCTATATATATATATATATATATATATATATACAGTATATATATATATATATATATATATATATATATATATATATATATATATATATATATATATATATATATATATATATATATATATATAAATAAAGACAGATTGATTAATAGAGATACTGAAGCTAGATACCCTGTAGACTGGGAGAAAGAGAGAAAATGATTCCCACAATACAGTACTTACCTTCCTCAGGTACGATTTGTGTGCATCAGTGACACTCACAACAGAACTGACTGTCTGCATTACAGTATACCCGACGGTGATGTGCTGCTTCATGGGGGCGACTTCACCATCAGAGGGGATCCACACAACGCACACGTCTTCAATCAGTGGTTGGGTGAGCCCATTTCAACCTTATTCTTGAGTTTTTGTTTTCATATTAGTGTAAATTGATTTCCCTGTCCCCCATACAGAAAGTGTGAGAGGAGTAAAGATAAAATGTATAATATACAAATCAATAAACTTTGGAGGTTGTTAACATAGGATACTTGTACTAGAGCCATAAACAGTATCCAATTACTGTACTTTAGGTTTCATATTTTCTTCCTGTTGGCAACAAAAAATAAGAATATATAATTCTAGATTCCCTACTAGAGTATATTGCTGTAAAAAACTCTCCTATAAAGGTATTGTTCAAGGTATCTTTTCAGCTTGTATTCTTGTGACAAGCAGGGCACCACACGGCAGTGTACTGGGCCCGTTGTCGTTTATTTGTTTTATAAATGACATGCCAGAAGCTATACACTCCTCCTTATAAATGTTTGCAGACAATGCCAAGCTATTCAGGGAAGTTAAGAAACAAACAGACTGTGAAGAGCTACAGAAAGATCTTTGTCAGCTTCAAGCGTGGTCGAAGAAATGGTTGCTAAGATTCAATGTCACCAAGTGTAAAAGGCTGCATCTAGGTCATACCAACAGTAAGGAGGTGTATCACACGTCCCAGTGGGACGAAGAAACTGCTTTAATAGAGACCGATTGTGAAAAGGACCTGGGTGTGTATGTTGACAATGAACTGAAGTTCTCGGGCCATTGTGAGCAGATGGTGAATCAAGTGACTAAACTTGTAGGTCTTATAAGAAGGTCGTTCAGATATCTAGACCCTCGTGATGATTTTTAAGAGTGAGGTGCTTCCCCATTTTGTGTACTGTCACCCCGTCTGGTCCCCCGAGATATGCTAGAGACTGTCAGTTGATTGAAAATATATAAAGGAAGGCCACCACACTGGTGCCTGCACTACGGCACCTTAGTTATCCTGAGTGATTAGAACGCCTGCAACTGCCTAGCTTACTACAGACGGGCAAGGGGTGACCTAATTTCAATTATAAACATCTCAGGGTGCACTACTCGGTCGAGTGTCCATACCTGGAGCTGGCAGATGCCATCCTCACAAGGGGTCACAGCTTAAGGTTGAAGAAGCCACAAGTCCAGAAAACTGCGAGGGCAAACTTTTTCAGAGTGAGAATTGTGAACTCTTGGAACAACCTGCTAAAGAGTGTTGTGACGGCACTGAGTGTGAGCTGTTTTATGACTATTCTTGACCAACACTGGAGCAGGTTCAGATACATTCAGGAGCCAGTACATGCCCAGTAATTGCTAACACTGCATAACGAATATGTGACCGACTGCCCAAGCGGCTAACGAGCCAATTAGTGGCGCAGAGGATAAAAGTAAAATTAAGTAAAAGATGAGAGCTATGTACTGGTGAGTGCTCTGCCTTGCTGATTGTTAACCTTACTGCAGAAAAAGATTTCCCCACTACTGATGATGATAAAAGTGCATGCTCATATTTTTTTTTTTTTTAGGATTAGCCCACTGGGCATAGGTCACTGACCTACTGGGGGGCGAAAATGTAATAATAATAATAATTCAGATAAGTAAAATTTATAATAAAAAATACAAAAATAAAATAATAATGATAATACTGTAATAATAACAACACCGCAATTATAATAATAATAATAATAATAATAATAATAATAATAATAATAATAAAGAACTATAAAGAAATACCAAAATTTAAAAGAAAAAGATCAAGAGTGAGAAACAATAAATGTATGTTGTGTTGTCACTGGTAAGAGAAACATTGAAATCCTACAATTGTGTGTAAATGAGGCAAAAAGTCAGATCAGCAACCTGGGACTTGGTCACAATTTTTGTGATGCCATATGACTGCAGGGTCTACCATTAGGCAATACATTATGCTTCCAATATCTTCCCAGGCAGTAGTACCTCCCTGTTTGGTAGCTACCTACTACCTACTCTACATTACTGTAGAGTAGTGTACTATGTTTGCAATATATTTCTTGAAAATAATAGTACTGTAAAGCTATTATGTTACTATATATATATATATATCCCAGTCAATGCAATGCCTGGAATAATGCCTCCTCAATATTACCTTGTAATTCAATTGACAGTAGGAACATTATAGAATCTAGTCTTATTAAACATACCGAAGCAGTCAACAAGAATTTGATTAATGGCATGTACAAACTGGACAATTTTGTAATTAAGAAGATTTGTACGTAACCAGGTGAGAAGGTTGGGTCACCTTACTCTCTGACCTGACTACCAACCGTTGCGGTGCTTTTTAAAGATTAGTTGGGTTATTACCTAATACCTGACCATTGTGGACCTGATCTCACCCTCCTCTGTATATATATAGTACACCTTGTTTTGTACTTCTCCTTAGTCTGTACTCACCCCTGAAGATGTGAATTACACGAAAGCGCTTGGGAACTTCGTGTTTTCTTCTTTCCTTGTGGTTATCAGCATATACCTGGATCACGCGCAACTACAGTGATTTACTTGCACATATATATATATATATATATATATATATACAGTATATATATATATATATATATATATATATATATATATATATATATATATATATATATATATATATATATATATATATATATATATATATATATATATATATATATATATATATATATATGAACAATCAGTTTATATGATCAATTTGTGACAAAAAATATGAATACCGTGCAACCAGTACGTGACACTTTTTTTTAAAGACAAATCTATTTCTTCAGGACGTTTGCCCCACAAGTACAAGGTAGTCATTGCTGGTAACCACGAGGAGCTGTTTGACAAGAACTTTTACCCGGTGCCAGCAGACCCCAAGAAAGTATTGTCAAATGCCATCTACCTCCAGGACCAATACACATCAGTCTATGGCATCAAAATTTATGGTGCCCCATGGTAAGCTCTATGTAACACAGAATTTTGAGACCATTAGTCACTTATGCAGAATATTAATTTGTAATCTTTATTTTACCTTTACTTATTGTATTTTGTAGCTAAGAACTGTACTGTACAAATTAAGTGGTGCATTGGTAATGCACCTATCTCTCGCCAATATATCAAGGGTTCGAGGCCATCCAACAACTCTGTTTTCAGCCTGTTCCTAACACCAGTCATTGTAAGTTTTACTTGGGAGAATATTCTCTCCACTGCAGCAGAAGAGTGTGGAAGAACTAATAAATCTAACATGAATCGAGATAGTTTCTTACCTCGATATGTCATATTCTAATACAGGTTGTACCTCTCTAGTCCGGCATTCTGTGGTCCGGAAACTCCCGTGGTCCGGAACGATTCTAGTTTGTCCAATAGGTAGATAGGCAGCTTTTTTTTTTTTTTTTTTTTTTTTTCTGAATTATTATTATTACAGGAGTATTAAATTTTTGCCCCTCAGGCCCCAATGTGGGTCAGTGACCTATGCCCGGGTGGGCTAATCCCCTTAAAAAAAAAAAAGCCGCGGGAAATTAAGGTTTGTTTACATCCGGCAGTTCGGCTGCTCTCTCTCTCTCTGCTTGTCTATACAGAGTACAACATTTAACCCTTCAATATATATGAGCAGTAAATAAGTGTTGCTTTCATATTCTTATGTAGAGTAATGACGATATATTTTCACATGTGCGCACTTACATACGAGCAGTCTCACTTTTTTTTTTACCATTAATGGTTAGCTACTTATATTGTTCCATTTATTAACATTAAATAACATTACAGGTACTTCAAGCAACCATATTCATTTTTTTACATTAATTTTACTACAGCTAAACTCAGGGTCTTATTTTCTTCAGTTTTATATGTAGAACCAATCAGTCACTGGTTTCGTAAGCTTTAACATAAACAATGCCGGCAGCGGTCTCGTCTCCTCTAATATTCCACATATTATTAATAAATTGTATTGTTAATTTTGCACACACGTACATTAATTCAATAAAAACAAATTCAGAAACATTAATTAAAATATATATGAACAGTAAATAAGTGTTGCTTTCATATTCTTATGTAAAGTAATGACGATATGTTTTCACGTGTGCACATGCGCACTTACATATGCGATCTCTCTTTTTCTTTACCATTATCGTTAGCTACTTCTATTGTTCCATTTATTAACATTAAATAACATTACTTAAAACAACCATATTAATTTTACTACAGCTACAACCAAGGTCTTATTTTCTTCAGTTTTATATGTAGAACCAGTCAGTCACTGGTTTTGTAATCAACGAAAACAATGCTGTGTCATTTCCTCATGTGTTTTAATGTTCTACGTATTATTAATGAATTGTATTGCTCATTTTGCACATATAAACATTAATTCAATAAAAAAGACATTCAGTAATAAACAATAATGAATCTTTTGTACATAAGAGAAATGACGCTGTTTACACGATTATGCACGTCGTCTGCACGTTGGCGGGCCGTTCAAACCCGTCGAAATTCAAGTTTCCGCCGTCAAAATTTTTATTTATTTATTTTTTGTGTGTTCCAATAAAATACGTTAAGAATTAAAAACTCGCGAAATTTGAGAAGCTACTATACGACATTTAACCCTTCAATATGTCTTCAAAGAGACCATGACGCAGAGAAAGTGGTGCTAGTGCTTCCAGGCATAAGCACAAGTCACTATCTATCCAGGAAAAGGGTGAATTTCCATGGTCCGGCAATTTCCATGGTCCGGCACCGGTCAGGTCCCGAGGTTGCCGGACTAGAGAGGTACAACCTGTACTTATTATTCTTACATAACCATGAAAGAGTGAGGGAAAGCGAGACAGGAAGAAAAGGAATGTTGAATAAATACTCTTAAATGAAGTGTATTAATTTGGAGATCCGAAATGCATCAATAAGAGTAACTCTTATTGGCAGAATATATCAAGCAAACATCACCCTTGTGGTCGACAGCATAAGGTCGATATTCCCTTTCGTCACCCTCTCCTATGTTATATGGATGTCAGTAATTAAAACACAGCCTTTATGTATCATAATGGGGAAAAATCTAAAGCAAAAAATTAGTAGTAATAATCATAATGAAAAAATAAAATAAAATAAAAAAGCCATTTTT